GTTATAAGAGCTGTAAGAGCCCCCAATAAACTGATTTATTAAAATTAAAATAGCAATAAAATATGTCGTCTCAAAAAATAATATGAAGGTCCTTCCTGTCCCTCAGATGGCAGCTAAGTTGGAAGAATGCCGCAAACTCATCTTCAGGGGAGAACTTCAGCAGCACATGCGATGACAGCAAGTACGCAGACAGGACACCGTTCAAATCGCGTTTTGTAGGTAACAGGAAGCTGGCAGTGAGTAGCTGGTTAAAACCAGCCAGGTCTGGAGCACCCTGTCATTGTGGTGCCATGATCGTCTCTTCGGCCAGTCTGTAGCGTTCAACAAATCTCAGGGGAAACATGCAAACAAAGTGTGTGATGATCTAGTGAAGGAATTGGTCGATTTTGCCATCACCGAGTTACCCGTTGGGTTGCTAACCACAAAGTCAGCGGTTCTATACCACTAGCCGCTCCATGTGAGAAAAATGAAGCTTTCTACACCTGTAAAGATTCAATCTTGGACACCCACAGGGTCAGCTCTACTGTGTGCTAAAGGGTTGCTACGAGGGGTAATGGGCTCGATAGCAGTGAGGGTTGTTGTTTTGGTTCGGGGTTTAAAATGAGCCACCTCAGAAGCAGGATGGGGTCTCCTACTGCCATCAAGACCCTAGAGCCAGGAGTGCAGCAAGCCCTCTAGACCCTGAGATTCCTGAGTCTTGATCCTCCGTGACCCAGGAAATGGACCAAAAGGCTTCCCAGTTTGGGGAGTAAAAGTGATTACTGCTGGGTGGGAGAGGAGGCTTGCTTGCAGGGAGGTACCTCCAGAACTTAATCAGGGAAGTCAATTTGGTGATTCCCGGAGCGAAAGCCAAGACCCTTAGAGTCGATGATTACTGTGAGCCCTTAGGGGCCCTGATGGTACAGTTATTCATAAGATTGCTAACTGCAAGGTCAGCCCTTCAAAACCACCAGCCCCTCCTCAGGAGAAAGATGAGGCAGCTTGGAAGCCTGCAGAAGCAGTTCTATAGGATCACTATGAGTCAGATTCAACTTGTTGGCAATGAGTTTTGCTCTTAGGGCATTTATTGGCAATACTAATGAGTTTTGCTACACTGCCCAAGCAAAGCAGAGGCCAAGCGGCTGAGCCTAAAGAAGCATGCTTGTGGGCCCTGCTAGAAGTCGCTCCTGATCAGAACCAACTGTATCCTGCAAATTTCTGCTCCTGAGTTGTAATCCGTCAGCTTCCCTACTAAAGCCCATGATTGCATGTGTGGCTATGGCAACGAGGAGACCCCAGCAGACTCCAGAGTCCCTTCAGAGGGGAGGGTGGTGTCAGAATTGGCAGACGGTTGGAAGGTGGGGACAACATTTGACCTCCTCCTAGGAATCGGCCTTGAACGTCTACTGAATTTGATTCTCCTTCCACTCTGAGAAGTCAGAGGTCAGAAGGCCCTCATGTCATTCTCACAGCCACTTATGGACTAGCAACTGAATTCATTCATGCCTACTGAAAATGCTAGTTGTGTAATCTCAAACTTCATGAGCTCCCACTGCAACTCGCTGAGGTTAAATTCTACCTTCTGGAACGGTTTTCACGTTATTACACTTAGCAATGTCTTTAAGTAGTTCGATGATGGGGGGGAGGCGAACTCCCACCGCTCTCTGCTACTTATGAGAGAAGGGGCTGATGTGATCGCAGTCCTCCAGATTCTCTTCCCTGGAATCCAAGCCGTGACTGTTGCACCCGGTGAACGTGGCACAAGTCACGCAGTGCCCGTATCCAAGCCTGGGTGACTCTGGCTTCTCCCTTAAGACAGCAGCCTCCATGGTGCGAGGAAGCTCAAGTAGCCCTACAGAGAAGCCCATACACACACCGAGGAATGGAAACTCTTGGCTGACAGCCCTGATGAATCTCCCTGCTGACAGAATCACTTGCCATCACATGAGGCGGACTTGCAAGCCCCAGTCGACACTGCACAAACTCATCCTGACCGGCTCTGACCAAACGGGAGCTTCAAAAGCAGAATAAATGACTTCTGGAAACACTTCAACCCAAATTTAAAGTATACTTAAAATTTCTCAATTCATCCAATGGGGTAGTGAAAGTAAACGTCAGTCAGTCACTAGATTCTTCTGATCATTTTCCATGTGACTCAATGACACATCCATCTCTCTCACATCAATCCTTAGATCATTTGATAGACAAACCAAGTGTAGATGTGCAGATTCATTGTCCAAGGTCACATATCTGGGAGGAAAATATTCAAAACCATTTCTTTCTGGCTCTGAGTCTTAGCAGGAAACTGGGAATGAAGCCTCCTATGATGGGAATCCAAGCTCATGCTGACGTGACTCAAGTTCTCAAGAACAGAGATCAGGGTGATGATGTGTCAGTTAATACTGTGTTCTGCAGGGAACCGGACACTGCTTAGCATCACTTTCCAAATTAGCAGCAAGTTTTTGGCGTAAGAACCCCACAAACCGTACCTTTAGTACATAGAGCTTTGTGGTATTTACTAAGTGCAAGTGCTCCATCCTAAGTAGAGAGGAGGGACCAGATCCTTGCTCGACAGGTTTGTAGGAGAAACACACCAGAAACCAAACTCAACACCATCCGGTCAGCTCGACCTCACAGAACTACCGGTGAGTTTCAGAGACTGCAGATCTTTGCAGGAGTAGAAAGCTTCATTTTTCTCCTGAAGAGTGACTGGTGCTTTTGAACTGCCGACCGTGTAGTTTGCAGCCTAATGAACAATTCATATGCCACCAAGCCTCCTGGTAGAAGCAGCATGGCAGGTACATAAACAGCTGTTTCACAAGGTATCAAGCTGTGAGTGCCATATGTGAAGAATAAAGTGCTAGGGGCGTTTTTTCATTCATTCAACCAATACTTATTGCATGCCAATTTGTCAGTGATGAGACTCTGATCCCAGCTCTCAAATAGTTGGCAATTCAAATTACTGTTGCTGGAAGCACCAGAAAAAGGACGGTTACATTTGAACTTGGTCTTGAACTTGGCTTGACTTTGGATTTGTGGAGATCTCCCATTCTCAGTAGAGATCATAGTGGACAAAAAAATGTAAACTAATGATGCAGTGGAAAATTGCAACATGTGTGTTTTCAGGCAAGATCCAAGTTCTATTGACTCGGGAGACCTGGTGATGTAGTGGTTACGCGTCCAACTGTGATGCGAGCGATCAGCAGTTCAATACCACCAGCTGTTCCGAGGTAGGAGGCCAGGCTTTCTACTCCAGTGAACAGTCTCAGAAACTCAGAGGGGTAGTTTTATCCTATCCTATAGGTCACTATGAGTTGACAACAACTTGATAGTAGTGCGTTTTGGGTTTTTTTAAAGATATGATTTAAAATCAATTTACAATCAAACCATTGTTTCACGTGCAAAAGAAAAAGAAATGTATAATCATTAAGTCCTCACAGCACTGGTTCCTGACTGGGGCATTTTGGCCCTCACGTGACTTGGCAATCTCTGGAAACATTTTTGATTGCTGGGTTGTCATGACTGGAGTGGAGTTGTAGTTCTAGCCTTTAGGAGACACCAGGGAGGCTGCTAATTATGCCTACAGTGCACAACCCTCTAATCCCCCATGACATAGAACCACTAGGCCTCGCATGTCAACTGTCCCAAGGCTGAGAATGCCTGAAGCACTGGGGGCAAGCTGAAAGGAACTTCCAGAATATTAAGATGTGTTTTTAGACAGGTAAAATACAGTGATCATTTGGAGTGAACGAGCACAAGCTCATAACCTGTGTAAAGGCATTCTTGGGGCAACTGGTCCTATGTACAGGAACCAGGTTTCCCACTTTGGGAATTGAGGGTGGTGATGCCCAGGGGCTGTTTGGGAGAATGACTCGCTGGCAGAGGGCATCACAGGGCTGGCCCCCTGAGGTCATCTCTCCATCTCTTGATTCTGGGAACTACTCTCATCACACTAATTAGATAGACGTATTTCTGCTGCCTCTGGTCTCAGGAGCATGACTGACTCAGTTGCATAGGATGTCATGCTAACTTTTAAAAAGGTCAGCTCTACGCCACTTATTCTCTTAGGCCTTCCCAGACACAATAGGGCAACACGTTCTTTTCCTTTTTGCATTTTCTCTAGCCTATCACCTATCCTCTGACAATCGATTCTGACTCATAGCAACCTTACAGGACACAGTAGCACTACCCCACAGGGTTTCTGAGACTGTAAATCTTCATGGAGACAGCCAACTGTATCTTTCTCCTGAGAAGCAGCTGCTGGATCTGGACTGCCGACCTTTCTGTTACCAGCCCAACACTTAATCTACTGCACCACCAGGAACCCCGCCACTCCCTACCCTCTATGCCTCTCTAATCATAGTCATTTTTTGTGTGATTTATCTCACTTCTAAGTCCTTCGGGTCAGGATCCAGCCATATCTGGTTCATAATTGTAACCCTCAGAGTTACTACAGTGCCTTATACATCATAGGTGCTCGATAACTATCTGTGGAATGAATAATTGAATAAAGGCACAGTACTGGCAGATTATAATTAAATGCAAACCCTTCAGCCTTTTCCCAACTCTTCTCAGCCTTCCCTCAGAGGGCTCATATTGTAAATCTTTAATCATTTTAGTAGCTTCTCACATTCTCATGCTTGGGCTATAGGGTCTGAGAGCGAACAGAGCTCTTTAACAAGTCCTAACTGCCACTTAACAAAATACCGCTTAGTAAATTCCGTTAAGTGTCAGGTGATTTCCCTGTAAGGTGGAGGCTAATGTTTGGTCTGGAAACATTTAAAGAACCTTAGAGAGGCAGTGTCCCCAATCCCTCTGAGAAACAAGGACCCCACGGCAGTGCCACAGACACAGGGAGAGCAGCTCTGCACACTGTGCGTGCAACCCAATGGCATCCTTGAAGTGTGTGCTCTCTGTCCAATGCTGTGTGTGTCGGGAGGAAATGCTGGCCTCTCATGACACAACCATCAGCCCTGATCGAATGCTACGGGGCTTTCTGAAAAAGACATGTTGAAAAGCAAGGCTGTCGATCTTTTATTGCTAAGTAGCTTAATAGTCTGAAGATCATGAAGACTGCGGTATAGGTTAATCTGCAGGACGTCTGGAGTAAGGTTCCCGCCTGATTTCTTCTTGAGGGTCCTGCTTGGGCATCAATTAATGTTTGGTACTTGATTCTAGCAAGTCTTTAGCTTCATTTATTTTAGTTGCTAAGTAAGGAGATCCACCTGAGAAAGGGGGCGGGGGAGAAATGGATTAAAGGACATTTCAATACTGAACATTTTTAAAGTCCCAAATACAGAAAAACACTCCTAATTATGAATCTGATTTTTCACCACCCCTTCATCCTCTGACAAATTACTTTGTAAGCTGGCTGGAAATCAAAACAGCATTGATTAAGCTGGCTTAGTGAAGCACTATAGAGCCCCAATGATCACAGATAATCTCTGAGAAAAATCCTGGAAGAGAGCAGGGATCAGGAATGACTGGAAAACCATTCAAATATTTCACCGGTCTACATTCAGCACAGATTCCATCAGAGAACTGACCGAGGGAGAGTAGCTTTATGGAGAGAGAATCAGTCAAGAGAGGTCTTTCCAAGTCTCAACAAACCTGATGTCAGGGCAAAAATTAAACACCTGTGAGGCACGCTAACTGTGCATGTGCCGATTCTAACCAGCATGTTTACTAATACAGATGAATGCAATAACAATTGAGTCACAGCAAAATAATATTAAAGGAACTGATCTCTGTATTAAAGGAGATCTGGGACGATGCTATGAGAATATTGACAGAGTGTAATCTTGGAGTCTGTGTCCTCTTTTAGAGTTCTTTGCAATGAATTATTTCTAATGCAAACAGCAAGCAGAAAATTGAAGTGAATATCAAATGCAGATTCATTATATATCACCAACAGCCCATTTGACACAAAAAGTACTAGCCTCAAAGTGTCACAGTAAAGCTATTTAAACATCAGACACCTTCTAAATTCTGGCCCTGAACACTGTCATTGCTAACGCACAGGCTCACAATCACATCATAGTTGACCAGTTTCTTTGTATTTGTTTTTATCTTCCCTTGAAAGCAAACCATCTACAGCTGTGAAAACACGTCAGGTCTCAGTAGCTTACAGCACACCAAAAGCCATTTTGAGAGCAGTGGGCAAATGGGCCTGCGTTTATTGATATCATACCAATGTAAATGGAGGAAGAAAGAGAGTGCAGAGCAACAGATCAACACCGTGCAGTGAAAGAGGCAATGCTGCAGAAAGCTATATTTAGCTTCGTGCCCTTGAAAATATCATTGACATGTTTACATCAAGATCTGAATCACTATCAACACTTCAAGCAGTGTCAGAGAGTATCTATCCTTGGATCTATGTTAAGAAATACAAATAAAGTTAATGAAAGCCTTACATATGCATTTGGTTCTGAGATATGTTGATTTCATGATCAACTTTAAAAATGATCTTGGAATTAATTAATATCAATCTTGGTAAGCTGCTTATTAAAAATTTAAAGTTACCAAGGTAATGTCAAACATCTTGTATGCCTTCAACAAATATTAAAATATTAATTAAACCTAAGTATAACCATTAGTGGATTGATTTGGACATTTAAATTCTCAGGTCATAGTATGCTCATTTAGTATTTGAAACAAAACGGCACAAAAACAAAGTCTTAATAAAACATTTTATTTGTTAATGGAAATGTTAGGGAAAAACAGCAGTACAGTTTATTCGGACACTGTTGAACTCTCTGTAGTCCATCTGCTTTAAGTTACAGGAACCCTGGATGTTAAGTTTACGAGTCTGATACAAGGAAGAAACAAACAAAACTGACTGCTGTTGCACTGATTCCGACCCTGTAAGGCAGAGTAGACCTGCCCCACAGGGTTTCCAAGGTTATATAACCTTTGTAGATACAGATTGCCACACTTGTTCTCCCTCAGAATAACTGGTGGATTTGAACCACTAATCTTTTGGTTGATAGTCAAGTGCTTAAATGCAGTGCCACTAGGGCTTTATAATGGCATTATAGAACCCCAAAACCAAATCCACGGCCATCAAGTCATTACTCACTCATAACGACCTTAAAGGGCAGGACTGAACGGCCCCTGTGAGTTTCCAAGACTGTAGCCCTTTATGAGAATAGAAAACCCCACCTTCCTCCCAAGGAGTCGCTGGTGGTTTTGAACTACCTGCCACGTGGCAGAGCAGCCCAATGAGAAGCCACTACGCCAGCAGGACTCCTAAGGGCATGATTGGAACAGTGAATTGACTCTCCTGGCTTCACTTCCATTCCATTCACATTGGAAAAGCATGTTTTAAAGTTCTTAAACCCAAACTACAATTCCTATATAACAGCGGTTCTCAACCTGTGGGTCGCAACCCCTTTGGGGGTCGAACGACCCTTTTACAGGGGTCACCCGATTCATAACAGTAGCAAAATGACAGTTATGAAGTAGCAGCAAAAATAATGTTATGGTTGGGAGGTCAACAACGTGCGGAACTGTATAAAAGGGTGTGGCATTAGGAAGGTTGAGAACCACTGCTCTATACCTTTCAAGTAGCGCTTCGTTCCACAGGTGGGTCTGATCAGTTAGAAGTCATGTGGT